ACCTTCCCAAACTTCCCCAAACCTCCCCAAACTTCCCCAGACCTTCCCAAACTTCCCCAAACTTCTCCAAACCTCCCCAGATCTCCCCAAACTTCCCCAAACCTCCCCAGAATTCCCGGGTTTAGCAGAAATGTGCGTCCCTGCTCCTTGCCCAGCGCTGACGAGGCGGGAGGACGTGCAGATGGAGCTTTCCTAAGGTTTAACAGGGAAGGTTTTCCCCTGAAACTCGTAATTCCTGGAGGAACCACAACCTGAGTGGTTCGACAGTGGCTAAGCTGGTGATTTCCATGTCTAAGCCAGTGTTTTCTCTGTCCACAACAGAGTTTTGGCAGCTGACCTTGCTTTTCAGCAGCTAACACAAATGTTGGTTTTAATGATAAACTTTTCAAATGGTTGAATTTGCAAATTCCATAACCACCTCAAATGGTTGAATTTGTAAATTTCATAACCACCTTAAGCTTTCTTCTGGCATCACCAGGAGAGGCAAAGCCGATATTCCCATTTTTAATATAAATATGGGTCCGTACTCATCACCTGCACCGTCTTGGTCGAAGGATGCATGGATGGGTCTTTCCCAGGGGCTTAAAAGGAAGCTTTTCCCCAAAACTCAGAATTTCTGAAGAAACCAAAACCTGAATGGTCCAAAAGTGGCCAAGCCAGGGATTTTCATGTCTGAGCTGAAGTTTTGGCAGCTGAACCATATGTTGGTTATAAGGATAAACTCTCCAAATGGTTGAATTCCCAAATTCTGTAACGACCTCAACTTGCCCCCTCTGCCCCTTCCCATTCTCTCCCTGCTAACTCTCATTTTTTAAACTTTTGCTGCATTTCTCTGTGTTTCCCACAGGAAGATTGTAGGGAAGATAGACGAGGACGGAGATGGGTTTGTGACAGTGGAGGAGCTGAAGGCCTGGATCAAGTTTGCCCAAAAGCGCTGGATTTACGAGGATGTGGAGCGCCAGTGGAAGGGCCACGACCTCAACGAGGATGGGCTTGTGTCCTGGGAGGAGTACAAAAATGCCACCTATGGGTATATCCTGGGTAGGTCCTGGCCCTTGGCATGGCCCTGTCCTGGAGCCAGCAGCTGGGACGTCCTGCTTTGCTTTGGATCACCGAGGGTCGGTGGGGTGGAGGCGATCAGGGTGGGCTCTGGCACAGTGGTCAGTGGGGCTCATGGAGGGATGGTCAGTGGGTGGTCAGGGATCAGGATGGGCTCATGGAGTGATGGTCAGTGGGTGGTCAGGGATCAGGATGGGCTCATGGAGTGATGGTCAGCGGATGGTCATGAAACAGGGTGGGTTCATGGAGTGATGGTCAGCGGGTGGTCATGGAGTGATGGTCAGCGGATGGTCATGAAACGGTGGGTTCATGGAGTGATGGTCAGCAGGTGGTCATGAAACAGGGTGGGTTCATGGAGTGATGGTCAGCGGGTGGTCATGGAGTGATGGTCAGTGGATGGTCAGGGATCAGGATGGGCTCATGGAGTGATGGTCAGCGGATGGTCATGGAACAGGGTGGGCTCATGGAGTGATGGTCAGTGGGTGGTCAGGGATCAGGATGGGCTCATGGAGTGATGGTCAGTGGGATGGATGCAGATCCAGACGGGGTTGTGGTGGAGGGAGAGTTTTGGGGCCTGGATTAGGGAGGCCCAGAGGAAGTTGTGGTTGAGAGTGTGCCGTGGTGCTGGGCTGGCGCTTGGCTGACCTGAGATGGATTTTTCCACCGGATAAGCACAGGAATATGATGTAGGATGTGGCCTTGGTGTACATGGGGCCAGCTGGAGCAGATGTCCCCAATATGTTAGACTTTAAAGCCTCTGAAACTCTACAAATTAACCTCCTGGTGGCATTAGCAAAGAGAAATCCAAGGAAAAGAACCCAAAATACATGGAAATCTTCCCAATTGAAAGTTTACACACCCCACACTCTCCTTTTCCCCAGCCACACTTGGGCATTATTAATGTCCCTGGTGACAAATGCAGCTCTGGGCTGAATCCAGGTGATTTTGGGATGAATGGCATGTGGCGTTTGGGGGTTTCCAGCCCTTTGGAATTCCTGGCTTGTGGGGGAATTTGGGACCAGCAGGTGGAACCCACTGACCTGCAGCTGTGGAGCCACCTTGGTGTGTCCGTTGTGTCCCTACACCCCATAAACCCATTAGCAGAGATTTCAGTTGCTTTCCCTTGTCCTGGGAGCAGTGTTAGACCCCAGAAGTCAGGGATTTTGGGACAGGTGCTGGGCCAGCAGTGAGGCATGGCCTCAGACATCCCTGGGAGTGAGGGAAGCAGCAGCTCTTTTGGGGTTAAAACCTTAAACCGTCAAGCCCTGTGCCAGCTCTGGCCTCCAGCACTGTAGGCTGGCCCGGGTGGAGGAGCTGCAGCTCTGGAGTGTCGAATCCACTCTAATTTCCTAAATATTGCCAAAAATAGTCAAACTGCTCAGCGGGATGTGCGGAGGGGGAGCCGCTGCACGGGAGGCTCATCCATCTCCCTTGGGATCGGGGAGGATCTGGATTTGCTGTGCTGGTGGCCAGGGAGGGCCCTGTGACACCCCTGGGCTGGGGCAGCACCTCCCAGAGCTCCCTTTGCCGTGGGTTTCTGGGCTAATCTGCCTGTGTGGATCCAGCCTGGAAGGGGCAGAGAGGTCCTGGGAAGGGCTGAGCGCTGTTTGGGGGGTCTGGGGTGGCATTTCGGACCTGCAGGTGTTGGACAGGGAGAAGCGTGAGCATTCACGAGGAAAAGCCCTGCATGGACAGAGCCCTGTGATGAGCTGGAGGAGCAGTTCCCCCGCAGCCTGGCAGGGTGTGGGGGTGCCCAGCCCCCAGCACGGCCAGTTGCAGAGCTGCAGCAGCCCTGGAGCCCCGTGCAGCCTCCGCTCCTGCTGCTCCCACATACTTGTGTCCTTACGGAGCGCCGGGAGGATCCTGCTCACGCTCTGGCTCCGGCTCCCCTCGGCAGCAATGACTTTTCCACAGCTCCTTGCTGCTCAAATGTTCCCCTCCCTGGCCGCAGTGGGGCTGGAATGCCTCTGGAAGTGCCTCCTCGGTGTTGACCCACGGCCAAGGGGTGCGTGGGGCCAGGCATTGCCCTCGGCTGCTCTGGAGGGTCCAGAATGTGGTGTTTTGTCAGCAAAACAAGGTGCCGGGAGTGGTTTTAATAATTAATTAATTACACACCAGGATGAGTCACTGGGTGGCCCCCAGAAGTGTCACGGAGCAGTGTAGGGTTCTGCTGGGGGGAGTCCTGGGAAGCAGGGAATATCAAGTGAGAAACATCCAACAGCTTAGCATCTGAGACTGGAAATTCCTTTGAAACTCCCTTCAAAATCAGAATATCATCATCATCACCACTCCTGTTTTTGTTAATTCCTCAATCCCATGGTGGGATCCAAAACCAGGACACAAGATGTTGGGTTGAGTTTGTGGCTTTGCTGCCATACTCTGAGCAAAACCCTCTGGCTCTGCTTCCCCTCCCTCTGCTCCCCCAAACCTCTCCCAGCCCAGGGACCAAAGCAGGAAGTAACTTTGGGGGCTTTGGGAGGGTTTAACCCTTTTTAACCCATCTGCCCCCCCACCACTCCCCCATCAAACCCATTAATTAGCCCAACAGCAATTAAGGAATTGTCTGTTAATGGCGCTGGTCCTGAAAGTTTCCTTGTTTGGGGCTATGCTGCTTCTCAAGGCAAAACATTGGGAACAGAATGGGGAATTTGGGGTTCATTCTGCACCTAGAGCTGCCTTAAAGTCAAAATCTTTGGATATTTAATGGATGCTCCAGAGTTCCTTGAATCCTGAGCCCCTTAATCCAGGGCTCCCCGATGCCTGCCTTTTGTCCCAGATAACAGAGCAGGGGCACAGGGGCTTTGGGCCCTTGTTATATGGGGTCTGGCTCTGGTTTAAGTTCAGCAGAGCGTGGCAGTGTCCCCCAGGATCCATGTTCTCCAGGGCTGCTGGACTCTGCTGTGTCCGTAACCGCTGTCCTGCTGCTGGCAGGGCCGTGCCAAGCGGCCACGCGTGCCCCGCGGTCCCACCCGGCCGCTGCCTGCTGGCCCTGCCACTGCCAGCAGCCAGCGAGATCCCCTTACACATTCCCCTCCCAGAATAGCTCCCGTTGAGCCTCTGGCCGAGCCGGCCAAAGCCCCCAGGGCCTGTCTTTTGGGGCCTCTCCCTGGGAATGTCACGGGCCCAGGGTTCCGCAGTGGGCACGGCAGAGAAGGGCTGGCTGCAACTGAGCTTTGCTGGCAAAGCGTCGGGAGGTTGTGCTGAGAGGGAGGAGGTTGAGTTTGAGGCTGGGTGGAGGAGGTTGCATTGAGGAAGCTGAGGATGAGAAGGTTATGTTCAGGAGGTTGAGTGGGGGAGCTTGAGGTTGGGTTGAGGTTGGGCTGAGGAGATGGAAGTTGTCTTGAGGTTGAAGTTGAGAGGAAGCTGAGGTTCAGTAGGGGAGGTTGAGGTTGGACTGAGGTTGGACTGAGGCTGTTGAGCGGGTTGAGGCTGTGTGGGTGGTTACGGGTGCTCGCCCTGCCCGAGCTGACCCAGGTGCTCTCTGCTCCCCTCAGATGATCCAGACCCTGACGATGGCTTCAACTACAAGCAGATGATGGTGCGGGACGAGCGGCGCTTCAAGATGGCCGACAAGGACGGGGACCTGGCCGCCACCAAGGAGGAGTTCACGGCCTTCCTGCACCCCGAGGAGTACGACTACATGAAGGACATTGTGGTGCAGGTGGGGCCAGCGCAGAGGCACCTTGGGGTGGGCACTGAGGGGCAGGAATTGCCTTGGGCCTGGCTCACGCTGGCACCTTCTTGCAGGAGACCATGGAGGACATTGACAAGAATGGCGATGGTTTCATTGACCTGGAGGAGTACATCGGTGAGACGCTGGTGCTGCTGCTCCATGTCCTGTCCATGTCCCTCAGTGTCCCTGTCCCCTGGGAGCCACTGCCACCGTGTCCTTCCCAGTCCTCCCCCTCACAGAATGTTCTTCTCTCTCTCAACTTCCACCCGCCCCTAGGCCTCTGCCGAGGATTTTCGGGTGAAATCATCACCCAGGTGGTGCTTTGGGGTTTTGGGGATGGATTTAGGGAACTCAAGGCTTTGGGTCAGTCCTTGGGGTGGGGACGGGGCCATGGGGCTGATGCTGATCCTGCTGTCCCCCAGGTGACATGTACAGCCAGGACGGTGATGCTGATGAGCCTGAGTGGGTGAAGACGGAGCGGGAGCAGTTCGTGGAGTTCCGGGACAAGAACCGGGATGGGAAGATGGACAAGGAGGAGACCAAGGATTGGATCCTGCCCTCGGACTACGACCACGCCGAGGCTGAGGCCCGGCACCTCGTCTACGAGTCCGACCAGGACAAGGTGGGCCAGCAGCTCTGGGGGGATTTGGGGAGCAGGAGGAGTGGGGAGACAGCAGGACGGGGAAATAGCGGGATGGGGAGATAGAGGGATGAGAGGAGTGAGGAGACAGCGGGATGGGAAGAGTGGGGAGATGGTGGGATGGGGAAATGGCGGGATGGGGAGATAGCGGGATGAGAGGACTGGGGAGATAGTGGGACGGGGAAATTGCAGGATGGGGACACAGCGGGACGTGGCGTTCCCTGCAGGACGGGAAGCTGACGCGGGAGGAGATCGTGGACAAGTCAGACCTGTTCGTGGGCAGCCAGGCCACGGACTTCGGGGAGGCGCTGGTGCGGCACGACGAGTTCTAGG